GCCTTCCCGGGCGCAGCCTCCGAGCGCTCCCGGCAGCAGGGCGCAGGGTCCCACCTCATGCACTGCGGCACTGCCCGCTCCCGACCTCTCCTCGGGCGGGTGCCCCCTCCAGCTGCCTCCACCGGTCAGCCGGCTCCCAGATGTGCCTCTGCCCCATCCCTTATCCCGGCTTATCCGCCCCTGACCTCCTTTCGGCAGGGCGCGCTTGGAGAGGGAGGCAGGGGAAGGGAAGGGGAGAGGAGGGCATGGCGGGGTGGGGGTGAGGCTGCAGTATGGGTGGAGTCCTGCTCCCTGCCTGCTGAAGATCATGGGCCAAGCCAGCGCTGCAGTCCGGAGCAGAGGCTGGCAAGGCTGCTGGTGCTGGACTGGCAGCATTGGGTCTAGCTGCTGTGTCATCGCCAGGACCCACTGCAGAGGAGCTTGTGCTGGGGGGTCCTGCCCCTCCTCACCCCTTTCCCACACAGCCCATTTGGGCTCAGCCATGGTGGAAGTTCCTGTGGAGTCTGACAGATTGCATGAGGAAATCCTGTGCGAGGAGCAGCTGCTGAGGCAGCTGATGCGGGATGACAGCCCAGATGGAAGCTGCGGAGTCCCCTGCGTGGGCTCAAGAGATTCCCAGTTTCACAGCCTGCAACTCCCAAGCTTTTCCTGAACCTGAATTATGCCTTCTGTACCCCGAGGGCATGGGATGCAGACAGAGCCCTGGCTCCTCTGCAGTCTGCTCCTCTGCCCCCTCCCTGCTGTAGTGGTGCTTTCCCTGCTCCTTCCTTCTCTGCACACCCATGGTCTCTGGTATGCTCCTTTCTGTCCCTCTGCCTGCCTCACTGCATCCCATTACCCTAGCAGTTCCTCTGTAGGGCTCTCCAACTTTGAATTTGCTTTTGCTTGGTCTCGGCTTGGGGTTTGGTTTAGGATCAACATTCAGAGCTGGTTATTCCTCTGAAGAGTGTGGAGGGGGGTGGGGAGACTGAACCTGCATGAGTGAGATAGCAGATTTTGCTTTAACTTGCCCACTTCCCCTCCCCCCCCCAACGCACCTGCTTGCTTCCCAGGAGTACCATTCCCAGGCTTATTGTTAGACAACATGCCTGGTAACGAAGAGAAGGGAGTTAGTCGGAGGAGACAAGTGGGCCTCAGTTCTGGGATGGGGGAGGGCAAGACCGCAGTGGATACCCAAAGAGTTGGCTCCAGCAGGAGAATCTTTCACAGCTGCTCTGCCCCTCCATATCCCCCCTGCACCCAGACCTGACTTCCTGTGGTAGAGTCTTCGAATCTCTCCCTTCCAGCCCTTCAGAGCAAGAAGCTACAGTCCTCTCATCTGCACACACCTGCATGTTTCATTTTTAGAATTAAAGATCTGAATGCTGAACTGAGCTGCAGGCTTCAAGGCTTTTTGCTCCTGGCATTGTGGGGGTGGGGATTCCCTTGGGGGATGGCTTCTTGGGTTCCTAGACCCTGTGGCACTAGGGAATGATTCCTTAACACCTTGGTACAGCCTCGTCAGGCCTCCTGAATCAGTGGTGTCAAACCTGCGGACCTTGAGGCATCCATTGGACTGTGGCTCTTGAGGGAGACTGTAAGACAAAAATGTAAACCAAGTCATAGTGGATGCAAGCTCCCTGAGCCACACCATGCTATTACAGACTGTTTGACTCAGCCTTGTGACTGAGAGGAGGGAGGGTGCACTGTCTCCCACTGCTTCCCCTGCAGCCCCAGCAGCAGCTTTGCTCTGAGCAGCTGATGTTTCTTCACCCACTGTCTGCTTGGCTGCCTTGCAGTAAAGGGAGGACAATAGCTCTGACTGCTCTCATGCCAGCTTCACTGCTAGGCTGTGGGATAATGATGGATGGGTCCCCTTCTTCCAGCAACCTCAGGGCAGCCCCAGAGAGGGAAAAGAAGCTGAGAGCCAGTCGCCAGCTAGTGCCCTAGTTCTCTGCCTCAGCCCCACAGCTCCAGCCACCCTCTTCCCTCACTGAAGACTAGGTGCTCTGCAGGTGGAAGAGCAGGAATTAGCTCCCCACTTAGGTGGGAGAGCTCTCTGCGCTTTCTGCAAGTGAAGGGAGCAGACCAGGTCAAAACCCTAGGTGTCCTTTGGGATGGAAGGGTTGAACAGTGCTGCCTTAATCCCAGAGGATTTGCACCTCTTGGGTCTTTGCCAGCAGTTCTTGTGTCTTTCCTTGAGCCAGATAGGTTCTGAGGAGAGAGAAGCTAATTCCAACTTGAGCAGTGTTTCTGTGGCTCTTCTCTGTGTTCCCTCATCTTTCTCTCTCTGGGAATGGAAAACTAAAAACAAAGCTCAGTGTCTCTAGCAGACTAGGAGGCCTTTGGCACAGAGCAGACCACAGCTTGAATCTTTTGGCTTCCTTTTCTTTCCACTAGTGCCACTTTCCACTCTTTTCTAGAGAAGACCGGATTCATCATGTCCATCGAAAAGATCCATGCCAGGGAGATTTTGGATTCCCGCGGGAACCCCACTGTTGAGGTGGATTTGTGCACACAGAAAGGTACGTGGGAAAAGAGTGAATGAGTCCAGGCAGAGTAGCCTTGTAGGAAGTGGAACCAGTTCAGCCTGGTGGCAGCCAGCTGGAAAAACCTGAGAAACTGTGGGTGACCTGCATAGAAAATGGCACCCACTGCTGAGTCTCTTCAACAGCTTGGCACACTCTTGCAATACCGGGGATTTTGGTTTTGACCGCTGCTGGGGAATTTACCTCAAATACCATGCCAGAGACATTGGGGCCCCAAATTTTAATCTCATTAGATGTGAATGTGTGAAGTTGTGGCAGCATGTATCCAAGTGTGTGTTTAGGGACTGCATACGTGCCTGTTACCTTGCCCTCTATTACTGCAGCACCTAGAGAGAAGGTACCCACTGTGCATCTTGTTTTGACTGAGAGAATTTCTGTTGGCTCTGACAGGAAAGGCCCATGTCTATGTCTGGCTGTGCGAGAGAGAGCTCACTAGGGAAGGCATGTGTCCTCTGCAGCACAGAGATATGTTAGCAGTCCGTACAGCATTGTGCACTAAGTGAAACTGCTTGTGTGTGTGTGTGTATATGAGACAGGTTGTTTGTGTATATTCCAATGAAGGGCATGCATCCTTGTGCATGTTAACGCACGTGTACATACCTCCATGCAAATGTTGCTCTGTACACCAGTGTCCCACATTCACATTCTTATTGATAGGAAATGTTTTCAGTTTGCAGGTGTTTCGTCATTCCTAGGCATGCTCATTTTGCTGCATGCCTGTAGGATTGTAATCTAGATTAAAACAAATCTGTGTGTGTGTGTATGTGTGTTTACGTATGTAGCTGCTTAAGTGCCTCTGTGTGCATTCAGGTGAGTGTGTGTCAGCCTAGGAATTATGGGTGACCTAAGCAGATCCTGCTTCTAGAATTGGATATTTCATTCCCTTCTTTATTCAGAAAGACAAAGTAACTTCAAAATGGGAGAAATTGCCTGCAGCCACCATTGAAGCTCCTTTGTCCAAGGTGTTAGAGCAGGAGATGGAGAAGAGAACTCCAATGCTTTGTTTCTAGTTTGATGAAGAGTAGGAACTCCTGAAGGCACCCAAGGGGCTGGGACTCAGGACTCCTTGGTTCTCTGTGTGGCTCTGCTACTCATCTCAGTATATAACCTTGGGTGAAGTTGTTCCCCTACTTGTGCTCTAATTTCCCCACATATAACATAGGGTAATCATGAAGTCATAAGTGGTGGAAGGGACCTCGGGTTATCTGGTCCTTCCCCAAATGACTTAGGAGCCATGAGTTTTCATTAATGATAGGCGAGGCATTTTCACAGAGATGCAAGAACGGGGGATGGACGTTGAAAAGATTTTTTTTTTTTTTTTTCTTTATCCTTTCCTCCACTTTTACATGTGTGTTTTGCTCTGCCAGGCATGTTCCGAGCAGCAGTTCCCAGCGGGGCTTCTACTGGCATCTATGAAGCTCTGGAGCTACGAGACGATGACAAATCACGATTCCTAGGAAAAGGTGGGGAGTATCCCACTCCTTCTCTCACTGAGGACCTTCCGGGCAACTCCCTAATATCAAAGTTGCCTGTGGGTAGCTGGCTCTCAGGACCTGATTTCCATCAGCTGTACTTGCTTGATGCTGTTTAATTCCCTTGACCTCACTGGAATTTCAGGAACACAAATCTGGGTGGAAAATCAGGCCCTGAGTCTTTCTCTCCCTTCCCTCCCCTCTCCTCCCCTCCCTCTCTCTCTCTTTCTTTCTTTTTTCTTTCTTTCTTTCTCTCACCCTGAGCAGATGAAAGTTTTCCATGGAGGTAACAGGCATTACACTGGTGTAAAAAAGAGTGGACAGATGAGACAAACACCAAGCCTGGATAATTCTTTCCAATCTGGTGGAGAATTATCCTGAAAGCTTTGTGATTAAAACACTCTACTGGTGTAAATTACACCAGATTGTGTCATCTGTCCCACCCCCAAGGTAGCTATTTGGAGTAGCTGCACATTTTGTCTATTCTTGATCCCAGTGTAATTTAGGTAGCTATATAAAACCACTGTAAATTACACCAGGGTATATGTTCATCTGTCTGTGGCCTTTGTCTCTCTCACTCTGTCTCTGCCTCTGTCTCTCTCCATCTCTTCCTTTCTCTAGGGGTCCTGCAGGCCGTGGATCATATCAACAACACTATTGCTCCAGCTCTCCTGAGCTCTGTAAGGATTTCCCTTTATTCTTTGTTGAAAATTTATTTTGCTCTTGTTTTCTTCTAATCTTTGTCTGTCTCTCTCCATTTCACCAGCTTTACTACTACCTTGATATTCCCCTTTACCCCAGGCACACTCCATCACAAGCCCTTTTTGTGTGTGTGTGTGTGTGTGTGTGTGTGTGTATTATAATGAAGGTTCTTCTGCAGTGGTGGTGCTTGGTAGAGGTTCAGTGCACTTGACCCAGTCTCTAGACTCTGCCACCTGATTTCCAGTGGCCCCATTTCACTCTAAAGTGCTCTCCCTTTTTCAAATGTTCTTTCCAGATACTGCACATGCCTTCCTCCGATTCTTCCATGCCGTCTCCCATTTGTCACCTCTCTTCTCCATATGGCATCCACAGAGTGATGGGCCACTGATTCTGTTTGTGCAGGAACTGGACTTTCCTGAGACACGATCAGTGGTCTCATCAGGCAGTAACAGTGCATTTATGGCACTGCTAGAGAGCCAGTCTCCAAAACCTAGGATAGAGCCATAACATGAACTGAACCATGTGCTACACACCACACAGCCAGTACTATACAAGTTACACACATACTCCTTCTTAGGGAGTCAGGGCAACAATCCTGTTTGTACACCTCTAGGGACACAGATGTTAAAAGAAGTCTCTGAGCTGCACTAGCAGGTCCCTTACCTACACTCTGAGACATCTGATCTTAGAGACACGCACATACACACTCTGGGTATGTCTACACTGCTCTGGGTATAGTGTAATGAGGACATTTCTGTGTTTCCTGTAAGCTAGATAGCTTGGCTACTAGAACTTGTCTAGTTTTCAGCTTGCTGCAGGCTGAAAAAATGTGCTGGGAACTAAAAGATATGTGGGTGGTTAGTTCAGACCAAGCTCCTTGCTCCTACATCGGTGGACTGCATTGGGAACCCAAGCTTGCTAGTACATCTATTTGGTACATTTGTTTTTGGTACATCTGTACTCTGTAGCAGATGCTGCACTTCACACACAACCTCTGCTTCACACACTGGGGACAGGGACAAACAATTACACTACTTTAAAGGGAGCAGGGCTCACCACTTGGAAGCACATACCATCTGATCTCTAGTTTGGTTTGATTCTGTAATAAGTAAAACTAAGCTATAGTAACTTTTTTGTTCAGGGCAAACTGTGGTTTCAGCTGAACTTCAGTGAGTCTTCTTCCCCTGCCCCCTTTTAAAATGGTATAATTGTTTCATCTGTCCACACTCTATGACATTAGATTTCTAGGGGTATGTGCATATAGATTCTCCCACAATCTAGATCTCCCTCATGCTCTCTCAAGACTCTTCCTCACAATCCTGTCTTAGGAAATGTTTCTTCTTGCAGGGCCTCTCAGTTGTGGATCAAGAGAAGATAGACAACCTTATGATAGAGATGGATGGAACAGAGAACAAATGTAATTCTGTTTTCCTTTGGTATTAGAAATAGAATAGCACAGGAGTAGGGGGTGGGATGCTACAGGGCAATAGTGAGAGTCCTGACAGGGCTGTGTGGGAGACACAGGGATAGAATAGCAGGGGGGGCTGCAGGGCAGGCGTGAGGGACACTGGCATAGCTGTGTGGGAAGCCCAGGGCTGGAATAGAAAGGGGGGCTGTAGGGCAGGAGTGAAGGAGTTTGGGAAGTTTACTCCTGATTTTGAAATGTTTGCAGCCAAGTTTGGAGCCAACGCCATCCTTGGGGTGTCCCTGGCTGTGTGCAAGGCAGGAGCTGCAGAGAAGGAAGTCCCGCTATATCGACACATTGCTGACCTGGCTGGGAATTCAGACCTCATCTTGCCTGTTCCTGTAAGAACCTTCTGGGGCTCTGGCTATCAAGTCTACTTGCAAAGAGATTTAAAGTTTGTGGGGCTATGGTGAGGCTGGGGAATGCAGGATTGATGGAATGTGGGAGCTGAACTGAGAGCTGCCTTTCAGAGCAGTGCAAAGGGATTGGCAATTTCACCTCTGCTTCTTTCTGTGTTCATCCAGGCTTTCAATGTGATCAATGGAGGCTCACACGCCGGGAACAAGCTAGCCATGCAGGAGTTTATGATCCTGCCTGTAGGGGCAGAAAGCTTTCGGGATGCCATGCAGATTGGGGCCGAGGTCTACCACAACCTCAAGAGTGTCATCAAGGAGAAGTATGGCAAGGATGCCACCAATGTGGGAGATGAGGGTGGCTTTGCCCCCAACATCCTAGAGAATAGTGAAGGTGAGAGAGATGAAAAAGAATGATCAAAAGGGGCAGAGATTGGACAGATGCATCCTTGGCTGGATCACTGCTCCCTCTGTGTCCATTTCCTAGGGCTCCTAATCCCTAGTGTCTCCAGTTTCGGGGTTCTGAGTCCTTCCACTGAAAAGACAGCTCCTCACCATTCTTGGTTATCCTTCTGAGCACCTTCTCCTTGGTAACATCCTGCCCAATTCACTGTTTTCCTAAACAGTCCCCTCTCTTTGGTGTTCAGTGGCCTCATAAACTTGCAGGCAGTTATGTCCTTCACCCTTGTCACTGCTCTGAGCTGTGGGATTAGGTCTTTGAATTCCTCCCAAGAACTTAATGCCTTCAACCCCTGAAGTATTTTTCTCTCTCTTCTCTGAGCTTTTGCCTGCCCATCACTTTCTGGGATTGAGGAGCCCAGAGCTGAGTAAAGCCTACAAGGTTGGATCTCACCAGAGCCAGCCCTTCTGTGGGATATGAGGCCTTTCCGTATTTAGATCCAACTGACACAGTTTCCCTGCTTTTTGTCTTTTTGTTAATTCCCCAGCTAAGGTCTCAGCAGAGCAGTCTAGAGAGGGACTGTCCTTTTTTGGTGTTTGTCCTTCCTTGGCAGCTCCTGCCTCTCAGGCATCTCACTGCTGTTGAGTGTCTGGAGTTCTGGATGAGTTTGATTTAAGCAGTTTAGCAGTGTTTTGTTCACTCCGTGTCTGTCGCTGTTCCAGCTCTGGAACTCCTCAAGGAAGCCATTGACAAAGCTGGCTATACTGACAAGATTGTTATTGGCATGGATGTGGCAGCATCTGAGTTCTACCGTGATGGCAAATATGACTTGGATTTCAAATCCCCTGATGACCCTAGCCGCTATATCTCTGCAGATGAGCTTGGTGACCTCTACCAAAGCTTTGTACATGATTACCCAGGTGAGCTGCTATGCTTAGAGTATGTGTGCATTATGCAGTACCGTGCAGTGCAGTACAGGGCTTGATCAGGGGTCTTGCATGTGGCAATGTGGAGATACCCTTAGTGCTTGCCACCTAGAGGTTTGGATCACCGTGCAATGTTGGGCTGGGAAGGAGGCAGCTGTAACGTTCCAACTTTCTCTGTCTCTACAGTTGTCTCCATTGAGGATCCCTTTGATCAGGATGACTGGGCAGCCTGGACCAAGTTCACGGCCAACGTGGGGATTCAGATTGTGGGGGATGACCTGACAGTGACAAACCCCAAACGCATTGAACGAGCTGTTGAGGAAAAGGCCTGCAACTGCCTCTTGCTCAAAGTCAACCAGATTGGATCAGTCACAGAGGCCATTCAAGCGTGAGTCCCCATCCCTCTAGCCATGCTCAGCACAGGGGCAGGAAGTGCTGTCACTGGCTCCCTCTGATTTCTAAAGCAGCTAGTTAGATTGGTGCAGCTTTGGTGTTGACAAGGTCTTCATCTTTGTCAGCAGGCAGTAGGAGTCCTGGGAGCCATATTTGGGCAGGGGAGGAGTGACTGGGCTTCTTCCCAGGCTTGTTGGGGCTGTAGGAGAGAGATCCTTCAACCTCATTGTTTCTTTCTAGCTGCAAATTGGCTCAAGAGAACGGCTGGGGAGTGATGGTGAGTCACCGATCTGGGGAGACTGAAGACACCTTCATTGCTGACCTGGTGGTGGGCCTGTGCACTGGACAGGTAAGTGTCAGATGAGCTAGAATCTAGGCCCTGGACAGCCTTAGAGAGGAGTATGGGAGGAGAAAATCAGAGTTGATTTAACATGGAGGGAGAATTCCCTCTGTCTTCCAGGGCAGGCTTGGGGTCCCGTGCATGGGAGGTAATGTACCATGAGGGTGTCTCACAGTTTTGTGTGGTCATATTTTGCAGATAAAGACAGGAGCCCCTTGCAGGTCTGAGAGACTGGCCAAATACAACCAGCTCATGAGGTAAGTGGGCCCAGGGCTAAGGATGCAGAAGAGGGGATGTATTTTGAGCCTCACCAGGGTGGAAAAGTTGGACAGCACAGGCAGATAACCCCAGGACTAAGGATGTAGGGCATGGGAATGTCCTTGGTGCCACCAGGGTCCCACCTGACTGCAGTATCCTAGACGGGATCTCTCTTCAGATGTCTCTTCTCCCCTGCTGAAAGATGCAATACCTCTGCCAATCCAGTCCTGACATTCATCACAGCCTGTTTTCCTGCTCTATCTCACTTCAAACACCTGTATGATTTGCTCTGTCAGAGTTGCTCCTGATGCCCTGGATATTCCCTCAATACTGTCCTGCACTGAGGCTCTGAAGTTGATTAACTTTTTTCCCCTGCAGGATTGAAGAAGAGCTGGGGGATGAAGCTCGCTTCGCTGGACACAACTTTCGCAATCCAAGTGTTCTTTGAACATTGTCTATGGTGCACGGCAAATCCCCAGCTAATTCCCAATGCACAGACTCTGAAGCTACCTTCCCTGCACCTTAACCCCTTCTCTCTGTCTCTCTCTCCTCCTTTGCCACTCAGCCATCTGGTTTCCTGTCTCCCTAAGTCCCTGTGAGTTCAGGTATCCCTAGCTCTCAAGCAAATGGTAAAAATTAGTTTTCCCTTTGTCTCTTGCTTTGGGGTATTGTAGGCATGTCTGAGACTCTGTATTTTGTGTGGGTTTTTTTCATCTGTCTGCAGATCTATTTGAGTCATTCTGCTTGTGTATTAGGCTGTATGAACATGTCTATGGCATCTCTCAAAGAGCACGGTGAATGTGTGCACTGATTAGTGTGGATTTACATAGTTAGGTGCCTGACTATGTGTGGTTTTAGTGACTATTCAGTGCATGGGGCTGTAGGTCTTTGTGTCAGTATATATATCTCTGCTGGCCTTCAAGCTTATTATTGCCCTAAGTGTGTCTGCTGAAGTGAGTTGGAGCCCATGTGTTTAGTTGTTGGACTCTGAATGTTGTGTTTGTATTGAGCTATATCCTTAGGCAACTTAACACTGAGGTGCTCTGCTGTGGCACAGGTTGGTGTGTGCATATTGTGACTCTCTGGGTCAGTCTCTCCATGGTTTGTTGTGGGTCAGTGTTGTAGTGTGTGGGGGTGTTAAAAACATGTTGGAAACAAACACATGCCCTCAGTCTGCTTCATCTGATCTTGCTCCCCCTGTCTCCTTTCCCTATCTTTTTCTTCACTTTCTTCTGCCACCCCTACCATCTGCTTTGTCCTCTGGACAGTCACCCTCAGCTGAGCAACAGAGACTAAAAAAACAAGGCCCTAAACTTAATTAAAATATATTTCACACCTGAGTTCCTGACATTTCTCTCTGCACATTATTTCCTGGGAGATGGGAACATACTGCAGGGAAAGTGGGGGAGTTCAAGAAAAACAGACAGCCAAAAGTAGTAACAAGCAAACAGTTTTGAGGGAAATGATGCAATGAGGAGTTCACTCCCCATGACTCCTGCCTAAAAGACCCTCTCGCAGTTGTAGCTCATGGGCTATGTATGTGTATACCCAGCAAGAAGATAGCTGCAGAATATCTGAGGAGAGGATAGACATTTCCTCACACAGTCCTGTGCTATCCAAATTATCTTCCATGAGAAGATGATGCACAAGTGATTTCAATCACGTTACCTGTCAGCATAAGAGGCATGGGAGCTGTGAGTAGGCCTCGCACTGGTTTACATGGTGATGGAGTGGGACCACAGGTATATGGACAAGATAAAAAAGCAAAGCCAAATTAGGGATGAAGGACACTAAATGCATCTGAAGTCTTTCAATTGCATTGTTTCACAGAGGACCGCACACAACAACATGGCAGAAAAACACCCTGGGCTCTAATTGCCCTATGGGCGAAGTTTAGCTCCCAGAAGATGGCATTCCTTTAAACATATTGTAGTGAAGGTAATGATTTGTCGTAATGGAGGAAACACAGACTGAATTAAGGTGGTGACTGAATTCCCCCACCTGCCAAAGAGGAAACAATTTTCCTAGCCCTGTAGGGTCAAGTAAATGGTGCACCTGGAGTATGTGTGTGGCTTCTGCATATTCTTAAGATTCTCCATTTTAAATAAGATCTGTTTCTCTCCCTCCTGATTGTGAAGCTTAACTTTCCCAATGTGATCTGAAACAAACAGACAAACTCCCTTATTTCCCACTAATTACAAGGGGCTGTTGACTCTTGGCTATCTCACTGCTGATCTTTTGGTAGATATGTGAAAGGGCTGGTAATGCAGTTTGTGGAGGAGGCTTGACATTGCTGCAGGGAGGGAAGCAAAAAGGTGAGATGGAAAAGAAAAAGAATGGCAAAATAAGAGGAAACAAATAGAATGGATTCTAAATGGCAGATACTATTTCTGAGTGATGTGACACTGAACAAATAATGATAACTAATATTTTAGATCCTACACAGATGCTATAATTTACTCTTGATTTTTCTGCAAATTCCTACTCGTATCATTAGGGACCTGCTGTGGATGGAAGTAGTTTTGGGTCAGTGGGCATGTCTATACAAGATACTACTGCACAGTTGTTACTGCGCATTTATTTAGTACTTAACAGCTGTGTCTATATAAGATGCTACTGCGCAGTAGCTCATTGCTACTGTGCAGTAGCATTGGGGGGACGCTAACCATAACATAATGTTACTGTGCAATAGTAACGAGCTACTGAACAGTAGCGTCCCCACATGGGTTTTTCTAATGCTACTGTACAATAATGCCAGTTACTGCGCAGTCATTTAGTACTTGCATAATCAAGCACTAAATAACTGCGTAGTAATAACTGCACAGTCTGCTGCCTATTTAGAAATGGTCAGCAAGTACTAAATACTTGCAGTAGTGCTGGAAAATATCTTTTAGATGATGCTACTGTGCAGTAGCCTAATACTACTGCCTGTGCTTTGATGTCCTACAGTGCAGTATTTTTCAGCTACTGCGCAGTCAGTGTCTCATGTGAACGCACCAACTGTGAACTTATTTGATGCTCCTAGAGCATCTTCCATCCATCACAGATCACAATCCTAAAGCACTTGCTAGAGAAGACATATCTAGCACTTAGATGCAGCCAACTCTGGAATGGGGCACTTGCAGCTGTTTAACAGCAATATTGCGCAAGAGGAGAAGAAATTAAGGACCATAGGCCTGTAATGCCAGAAACATGAAGCACGAGTTGTACCTAGATACTAAACTAACACTGCATCTTTTGGGGAAAGTACCAGGAGATCAATAATGGAAACAAGATCTAAAACTTGATGTTAGGACCAATATATCAGAGATGACAGGCTGCAGCACAGCGTGCTCCATGCCATCATGACTGTGTTAGGGCTTTGCGGGGAAAAATGATACTAAGGCCGTGATTCTCAGCCTTTTTAGATTCAAGGCACCTCTAGGAATATACCAGCTCTTAATTTTCACTAGTTCTTTGACTACAGAAAAATAGAGTAATTCTTCTGTTGCAAAGAAATCAGAAAGATCACATTAGGTCAGACTGTTTTTGACACTATTAAATCATTTTTTAAATCTTGGGGTTATTTTGTGAATCATCTTTACACACCTAACAGTACTAATATTGTGTGACACCCTGTGGCACCCTTGAAAATATCTCCATGCAGCCCTGGGTTGAAAATCACTGTGCTAAGGGGAAATTGTGACTACGTTGTTCATGCCATTCTAAGCAGTATGGTACCCTGCTAACACTATCCTATGCTAGCCCTGGGCACTATGCTAGCTTTAGGGTCTAACTCAGCAGTGAGAACATCATGTCCACTCAGATATGAGAATAGTTTGCCAGGCTACATTTGAGCATAACAAGAAGCATTCTGGGAACTGTAGTTCAGTGACCACCTGGCTTAAAACTCCATTTTCCTGTCGTTGGCTCCTCTCCTCCACTTCAGAAAAAGCAATCCTTTCAGCAGGTAGAGAAAGAAAATTGAAGAGGCTGTTTGACTATGGACCGTCCATTAGAGGGCAGCAGTGTCTGAGGACAGAGCTCACACAGCAGATGAGAAACAGCAGAACTGCTGGATTCCTTGGTTTGATCTAGTTGGCAGTGACTATGGCAGGATAAGTGAATTGCCAGAAGGTAGGCATACTGGTGTGTGTGGGGGTGGGGGGGAAGGCTTGCAGGTCAGACCAGGGCTGTAGGTCGCGGGTGGAGTCAATCAGCAAATGAATTTGAGAGAACTGGAGTAGCAAGAGACAAAAAGAATGAAATACTGTACATGGGCACAGGCATGTGCATGTTATGTGTGGAGCATGATGTTCTACCTATAGTTTAACATAGCAGGCATATGGCATTTGATACCTGATACACCTATGTTTACTTGACAACCTATAGAGGTATAGGATCAGCATATCACTAACGCACATGTACATAATTTCAGAAGAATCTGTATTGTGCCAGTGCTTTGAGATGAGCGACGTAAACAGTTATTATTTGAATGAGAGAAAACGTTGATTTAAGATGAAATGCAGGAAAATCTGGCTAATTAGTTGCAGGGGTAACTTGTCATTATGGTCTTAACAGTTGGTGCACAGAATCGCTGCCAGAGTCCCACTGACATGGATGAAACACTGGCTAATTCATCATCTGTTAAAGAAAAATTAGTTATTTCCAAGTGTGCATACATACTATATCATAATGAGTTTACTCCTGATAATTCATCAAATTAAAAGTGCTGGGCTGTTGAGCCAGCCGGTGCTTACAAAGTACTGGATACTCTTTACTTGGCTCAACAAGAAATAGAACATCAACCATTTTGCAGAATTACATATCTTCTATTATGGTAAGGAATGCATGCAAATATGGAAGACAAAAATCTTTGACTGGTTATTTTACTCCCTCATAATCTGGTAATTCTTATATAGTGAGCACTTGAAATTTTGCGATAAGAAATGGTGGATTAGGCATTATCTCTATAATCATGCAGAGTACAAGCCAGAGTGCATACAATTTTCACTCAGAATTTTTGTAATATTTTTTCTTCGTTATAAATGTCAGAAACTATCCTTCACCATATTTTGATTTGGTATTCAAAATACATCTCACAAAAGTTAGAAATGGCTACTGATTATTAGTCAGGTATGGATAATTACTCATAGAGTCCCTTGGAATGACAAATTAAAGAGATTTATTGTGTGCATTTCTTTACATTAGTTAGGAATAATGCATTTATTATATATGCACATAATTATACATTTTCTTTCTTTTTAAGGGCTTGGATTTTGTAAATTGGACTTGGCAGCTTAATAGGCTTTTGAAACAAAGTTTTTTAATTTTGGAATTTTGTGGGGGGAGTGGGAGGAGGCAAGGAAGTAGGGTAATACCCCATTACTCTTTCATTTTCCAGGTAAATGAGATCAAAAAGAAATCTCCAAGAGAGGCTAGAATACCAAATTGTTACATTAAGGGTGCGTCTACACATGGCCATACAGCACCTTTTGTTATGGTGCCATCATTTAGTACTTTTTTTGGAAATACTAAAAAATGGTGCAGTAACAACCCATACTGTGCTGTGCCAACCATGCACAGTTATTTTTGGCTGCTACATTGCCATAGCAACACACTATATTGATGGAGCACATTGCTACGGCGACTTAGTGGCGGCATCACAGTTTTTGCCAACAGATGCTACGGCGCTGTAGCATCTTGTGTAGCCGCTCCCTAAGGGAATTAGTCATGCTGGCCAAAGTAATAACAGCAGGAAACCAATAGTTATGTTCCCATACTAGCACTGAATATATAGTGAATAAAATCTGGTTATGAAGATTCACTATCAATAGGTAATACATCACTCAAGTGTGGTAGTGAAGGTGCAAGAAAGAATTTTATGCTACATACAAGCAACATATCAACTCAGTATTTCTATTTTTATAATTAAAGGATTTGTCAATGAGAGCACAATGCATTCTGCCTCTCTGCCTTTGTTTTAATCACTACAAGAGGCCAACATAGGCAAAGTACTGTAGAATTTAACCTGCATTTGCATTTTTCTTTTCTCTTGCTACTTATAATCTGACAGACATTCATTTCTAGTTTTCATTTAAAGGAATTTCCTAAATGCCTTATTATTCTCATCCTTGAAAATACTGTTGCATAGCCAATATCAAAATGTTTCCCTTTGTATGCTGTAACCTAATTCAGGAGTTTTCAACCATTTTGGGTCAGTGTACCCCCAATGGCTGGACGTGGAGCAGTGTACCCCTGGCAGCCAAACATGGGGGAGAGGGGCCTGGCATGCAACCTTCCTCTGCATCTGGCCGGGCAGGCTGTACCTGCGTGGGATGGTGTGTGGCGGCACTCTGTCCCCATCCACCCATGCATACCTCCTAGG